GTCATTAGCACCTCTAGTAATATATTTACTGAGAAAAATGGTGACGTGTTCAATACTTATTTTACACGCTGTGTAATCAGCCTTTTATCAGGTGAAGAGATTTTTTTCTTATACATTCTGCTTGCATTGAGCAAATGAAAATAACCTAAATATGTTTGTTCGACTTTCTGTCTCCTGTTCAGATCTGTCAGAAGCTTTGTAAGTTTTGCTCTGGTGGAAACAATCAGAAGTGTTTCCACAGCGGCTGATGTTTAGTTTGGCTGTTCCTCAGGTCGTGAAAGGAACAGAAACACTCGACCTGACAGAGAAGCCAGAAGGTGGAAACACAAACCCTGCTTTCTGTGATTTTGAGCTTCAAACGTCATCGTATTTCTGATCTGATGCCACTGCAGCGGCCGGGTTTATAAAAACATGCTGTAGCCTAGATTTTATACAAGAGTTGGAGCATCAAACGAAGAACGTCCTGAAATACTTGGAATATTTTAATGTTACATTTTCATTAAGAGATTATACATTAATTATTACAAAACTGGCTGCCAGGAATTCTGTGGCTCCGTTTTTCCTACAGTGTTAAAGTGAGCTTACAGAGTTCAACAAACCGAAGTACAACCCAAAACTAGTGTGTCCTGCTGCAGGTATTGTGCAAACACAAGCATAAAGGAACCGTGTACAAACTGTAAAAACCAGGCTGTAGTTAAAAATTCATTAACATCTGTAAAATCATGTTTTAAATGACATTCTTCCTTTTCAAGTAGAAAGACACCAGTTTGTATCATTTTGTAAAACTGCAGCTTTATAAAAGTTGTCTGAAGGGTGGAGCTGTGTTTCTGCAGACGTGAGGTTTTGATGTTTATAAGTTGGTGAATCTGAAGAATTCATTCAACTTTGTATTGATCCTGACTCTAAACCATTATTTCTTGCTCTCAAATGATTGGTTTAATGAGTCTAGAGGACGGATTATTTTGACCTGTTTTTTTTTTTTTACATTGTTTCTTTTAAAACAGCACAACCTCTGTAA